GCATATCGGGCAGGGACTGGTGAAATGGGACCCGTGGTCCAATAAGGGCATCCCAAGAAGTTGCGCCCCTCACTAGCAGGGGCCTGCAGGAAAGTTCTGAGGCCCCAGGGGCAAATCAGGGTAAGTAGGCCGTCGGAGGGGTATTTCGCAAAAAATGTAACTTTCAGGGGCATTTCGAAAATTCCCCCTGTTTTTTTTTTTGACGGAGATTTTCTGACTTCCTAACGGAATTATTTCAATTTCGCAATGGAAATATTGTGCTTACTGTTTACCGTGACTCTGCAGCGGGATTTACCCAGGTTCCGGGAGCAACACCTGATATCCGTTCTATTATTGGGGGAGATGCTTGGTTCCAAGTCGCCATCCAGGTCCTGCCAGAGACCACGTCGCTCTGGGACTCGGCTTTCGTCTTTGCCTCTATAGCTGCATCTGTATATGATACGAATGTGGTCCAGTTCTACTTGAAAAGTCAGGTCACTTTCTGGAGACCATTAACTGCGATCAGGTATCCGCTGCTTCCATGCTTTTTACCCAATTTTGTGTGTTTGTATGTTCGTTTCTGTTTTTTTTTGTGAAATTTTAAGGAACTCTTTTATAGGGCCCAGTGCCCAAGTGTGAATAGTATATCCAGCAGAAATGACTTCAGCAAAAGCGCAAGCAAACATCAATCATGAATACCACTCCAAATTGYTGACAAGGTCCACAGAAAGAATCGAAGACGAGAGACAAGAAAGAGGAAGTGAAACCACACCGGACAGTTGAGTCGAAGACGAGGGACAGGTAGGAAGAGACAAACACCAGGATAAAAACAGTCTCCCGAACGCGACTTTCAAAATAGAACATTGCAGCACAGGCGRTATGYCTCCCTCCCTCCCCTAGCCTCTGCCATCCACCTRCTATCCTCATGGCGCCTRTTGTGTGTTTGCACTCTGCAGTAGCATGTGTTTTGAAAAAAGCTGAAGCAACAGAAAAAGGCTGAATTGAGCTGCACTGAAATCAGCTGAAATCAACTGACATTTGACTGACGTTGACTGAAGTATASTGAACCTGCTGGAAACCGGGTCCAGCGTCCCTTAAATGCTACTTTATAAACAATCATCTTTTGAAGTGACGCGTGCTGGAAACCGGGTCCTGTTAACCGATTCAAGAGAAGTAGAGAAGGTAGCAGAAATAGGAAAAGGAAATGGAAGATAGAGAACCGGTAAACTGAGGTCTCATGCAACTGGTAGTATTTCTGCTAAGGACAGCGGGTGACGTGGGAAACGGTCTGCGAAGTCCTGAGCAGGTCGTAGCGGGGTGCCGGGATCAATCTGGGTCCAATCGTGAAAGATCAGCTGGTAGTCTCTTACTATCTCTGTCCGGGGTTCTCCCTGCSATTCCCTTTCAGGTTGGCGGCCGGTCCATTTCACCTCGGCCACCCATCCCTCCCTCTCTCCACCCAGCCARTCCTTGCTGAATGTAGAGATGATCCTGTTCATGTCCCCCCAGGTATACATCAGGYCGAGCTTGTCTTTAGYTGTCTTCCATTGGGCCGCTATCTYGTGTTGGACSAATGTTCGGATTTGTTCCATGGCCTCGCCGWCTTCCRCCCTCGCCCCCTCTATCTCAAGACAACATCTTATCCACCATATAGTCCACAGGACACTMCGTCTGCCTAGGCTGAACATGTTTTCCTCAAATGTCTTCCCCYGAATTGGAGGGTAATACCCCAAGAGTAGGGCCCTCCAGTCCCATGGCCAGACTGCACAAGGAACTATGTGACGCCAGATCCTGTCCCAGCTTCTCCATAATAGCACTGATGCGGGACATTGGARGAATATATGTTCGATGGTCTCAGCCCTCCTCCTCCCGGGGTAGCTCAAGAGACATTTATRGCACCATGGTAGTGCCTTCCCTTGTTGTTCCGGGCGGGTATGGTMTATTAGCCAATCATTGGTTGGTAGACACCTGTGCTCTATTTGCCACTGGAGGGCGGAGATTTTGGCGGGTCTTTTGCTGTAGTGTGCAAACCACCGGATGRGTTTCAATAGTCTGCGGTCTATATTGAGGTGGCGATACCATCTGTCTTCTACACKGTCACGTAATCTACATTTGGGTCTGAGCATTCGATAAGCAGATTTAGATTTTAAGTTGCGTAGTGTCAGTGCTTTTGTSTCTCCCTCCCTGGTTGGGATGTTCAGGGTCCATTGCCACTCATCAGGGTCCAGGGGGAGGTCCTCGATTGGAGTCAWTGGGCGATAYGCCCTCWGGTGACCTCCCTCATYAATAACCCTRATGCGATAAACATCCCTTTGCTCCTTCCATATGAACGGTTGATGGTTACAACGCAGTCTGTCGTCCCTTAGAATGGAGAAGACTTCAACTAGCACATGTGTCTGGTCCGCGAGGTGCACGTGCCCCACCTCCCGCTCGTGGTCAGGCACCCCTACCCWGTCATCTTCCTTTGCGCASGGRCTTTTTCTAAGAGTGGCRTACCAGTGGAGGGGGAAGTTGTCAATCAGCTCATTCARTGCCCATTCGGTGAGGTGGCAATATCGTAGTGATGTTCGTAACCTCTCCGYGCTTTTCCAATTCCTTGCCTCTGTGTCCCAAAGGTCTCCAACCCTTCGTACACCGTGTTTCACCCAACCCTTCCGACGCGCACCGCRCACACTCTTTGGAATCCGTTATTCCCCCGGTGTTTCTCCCCCCAATACCCGACCCTGCTGCGGGAAAGGTATGGAAGAGTAGATTGGATATGGGACACTGGACCCGGTTTCCARCACAATGGCGTCACTTTCAAGATGTACTGTTTCGCAAAGATGTATTTAAGGGAAGCTGGACCCGGTTTCCAACAGGTGATGTTCCCCACCAATAGATGGAGCGGCCCGCCAGGCAAAGCCTCGATCCTGGTGGTTCTCTTACAACCACCAGGATAGAGGCCTTGCACGAGGGCTTTAAAAAAAAAAAAAAAAAAAAACCGCACAGGCGGTATGACCCGACTAGTTTCGGTCGGCCGCCACCGGCGCTCGTCAGGGGTCTTGGTCGGTGAGTCCACTGACGACTTCAGAGGTGTAGTAGACGACATCTTAAGCTGCGAAGAAGGGGACGATGCGAGACGACTCCGTTTGTTACCGGTATGTAACGCCTCCCTCTTCCAATTCTCGGCTTCCTGCATCGCCTGCTCATGCTGTTGTTTGACAGCCCGAAGCATTTCCTCCGAAGACTCTGCACGTTTGTTGGCAGCCGCCGCCGATTCGATTTTCGACTTCATGTCCTCATGCTCCTGCATGATCCTTGCCAGCAACGCATAATTTTTGACAGGAGGTTGACTACATGATGCCACATCGTTCTTGACCGTCGTGTTCTGTGCAAGCTCTAACTTCTCGATCTCCTTCAGTAGTTTCTCCATCGTGGGTTCACCTGGATTGCCACCGGGCTTCTGACCCCGCACCACTTCGTACAAAGCATCCAACCGAGCGTTCATAGCATCATGTAGTTCTTTATTGAGAGCCTCCCTCTCCTTCTTCTCCAAAAGCCGTCGTTCTTCTTCTTCCTTCGTCTTTCTGAGTTTCTCTTTGTCTCCTCTACGAGCAGCCTCCTTCGCCATAGCTGCGTCATACCACGCCTTTATCTTCGCCACAGAATCCTCGAGAGTTACAACGCGCTGATTCAGATTGTACCACCCAGTGCCCAAGGTCATATACACAGCATGGAAAGAATTCCAGATCCAGGGGCCGCAAGGTCTCCGATCCTTCTCTGTGAGGTGGAGCCCTGTTTGTATGTTCATTATGCAACCAGTGTGGGCATAGCCACACCACTCACGGAGTGTGAAAAAGACAAAATAAAAAAACCTAAGGGGGGTGTATGTTTCTATAATTTTATGCGGAAGGTACATGACATATTGGGTCGGGCTGCACTAATGTCTACATGCACAAAAGACAAAAAAARATGGCAATGTATCTTTCCAGGTTCTAGCGGCGGATTCACTCTCATGTTGCACATTTGGAGAGTAGTGCAGGGAGACCCATTATTACATCATGCTCCTCTTTTTTTTTTTTTTTTTTTGGGGAACAAGGCTCCAATCTATTCGTGGGGAGCAGCACATGCTGGGAACCGGGCCCAGCGTCCCATAAGGAAATTTACATATAATTTTGAAAGTTGAGATACCGGGGCCATTACCCGGCTTTGGCTCTGGAAAAATCGAAGCTACTTAGAAAATGGCTACGACAAACTTCAGAATATGAACAGAATTCAGAAAACTACTCAGCAACCCCCCCATCCATCCACTTTACCTCACTCCGGCAAGACTTACTGCAGCAGAGCCACCATCTCCGCTGCTGCTATGCCCTATTCCCATCCTACATGCTAGCCCCCTCACTAGTAGGACGTGTGATATCCCACCATCTCCTTCCCCATTCCCCCTCGTTCGTTTTAGGCTCAAAAAGTTGGAGCTCTTAGGAAATGACTACAACAGACTTCAAGAATCATCAGGATTCAAAATCCGACTCGGGAAACCCCCCCCCCCCCATCAATCCTCTGTTCCTCACGCCGGCAAGACTTACTGCAACAGAGCCACCATCTCTTCTGCTGCTATACCCTATTCCAATCCTACCAGCTAGCCCCCTCACTAGTAGGACGCATGATATCCCACCGTCACCTTCTCCCACTCACCTCGTTTTATTTTARAATAGACCGTCGGGGTCCTAAAAGAAACTMAARAAATCTCGRCCTCCCTAACAAACCTTTCCAGGGTTCCTCAAAGTTGTCTTCCTCCGAGTCCCTGCCGAGCTCTTCCAGGCCTCACACCCCCCYTTCCTGYTGGGTTACAGGGCAACACAACTCGCCCCAGCTCCGACTAGCGTCGTCCCAACAGCAAACCTTGGTTGTCCCGTGAGATGCCCACCCCAAAGCRTCCCCAGATCTCTCTACCAGGCCTCACGTTCCTGCGTCAACAGGTTACAGGGCAACACCCCAGCACCGGCCAGCGTCGTTCTGGCATCGAACARCCRCAGATTGCTGAGTATAACAACTTCAAAGCAGCCTAGGAAAAGTTGATAGAARCCCCAAAATCCTAAACATTCTCAAGTCCCCCTTTACGGCCAAACAAGATAAAATTCAKAAAAAAARGGGGTCAAAACTAGAAATTAATGCCAACTATCMTAAAATCCCCCTCTCAACAAGCRGACCGTCRGTCCCGRCTTTCAGTCCTCGTACCAGAACTCACCTGGTCTCRTACCCCCCTCTGCTAGGGTAACAAAGCACCACAACCCTCCCCAGTACCGACCAWCCTAGTTCTGACGGACAGGAAGTGCCTTCCTCCCTCGACAATTCCTTTAGCRRCAAACCCCTAAATAGGTTACAGGGTCCACAGTGACTCACACCCYGGTGCCAACTACGTTGGACGATCTGGTTATGCCTTCCACCCTCGGCATAACTCCATGGACCTCAAGCTCCCCCTGGGTCACAGAGCACAGCTCCAGCACCGGTCTATGTCGTCCCAGCATCGTCCTCCTGACCTACTCA